TTTTTTTTTTCACATCCAAACACTCAAAATAACTTATCGGCGGTTGTGGACTGAAATAAGTTGATAAGCACCTTAAATAAGCTTTCCCAAACACCCCCTAAGTAACTTTTGGGCCACATGTCATGTTTCTATACGACGGTTATTGATTTTTTACGCCTAAACATGTATCTAGACACAATTTTCACTTACGGTTCAAATAAGTCTATTTAAGTGACAGGTGTCCCTTCGGGCGGTTAATTTCACGTATTCGTGGTATAACCGCCTTCGCAGAGTAATTGGCGGTTCAGAGTTCCAAAATCTGGAGTTCTCCTTTCCAGATTTAGAGACTCGTCCAACGATTTCGCCTCCAAATTTAGAAGCAGCTCTACATATACTATGCAGAGGCTCTGCATCTGGAGTGAAGCTCTGCATGTACTATTCAGAGGCTCTGCATCTGGAGTGAAGCTCTGCTGTACTATGCAGAGACTCTGCATCTGGAGTGAAGCTTTGCATATACTATACAGAGGCTCTGCATTTGGAGTGAACTCTGCATCAAGCATCTTAATCTTTTTGGCGTTTAAGCCTTGATCTTTCTTGGAATACAGCACGAGCTCTGTATATAAGACACTTAACTCTTGAGTAAGAGCTATGTCCCTTGATGTCTTATGCATGAGAACATGTTGTCTTTTCCGGTGCTTGCTTATGAGGTATGGCAAGTAGGGTTCACAAAATGTGGACCACGGGGCCATTAGGTCCCCGCCATTAAACCTTTTTTTATGCATGAGAACTCTGGGAAAATTAAGAGTTGTAAGTCTGAATTTAACTCTAGAGTGGTCATCAAAACCTTATTTAAAATTTCAAATTCGGATTTTTGAAGCATTTTTCACAAAGCAATATAACCCGGAAAAAAAATTCCAAACTGACCTGGCAGCTCGACCCCAGCCAGGGGCTATGCCCCTTGGACCCCGCCATTTAGGAGCTTCGCCCCAAAATCAAAATCAACTCAAACAAGTGTGTACTCCGCACCTTCCTTGCTTGTTCGATTTTTATCATGATTACATTGCTCAACAATTTAATTCCATTACATTTAAATGACATTAGTGATACAAATCATCAACATAAAATCATCAGATATTGGTTATTTCTCAGACTTACAACATAACTATGAATTATTCTGTTCCAAACTTGGTTATATAGTTTATTCTCTGACTTAGAATACAACTCTGAAATCCTCTTCAGATTATGTTTCTGAGTTATAAGAAGTCAGAATTCTTGTGACTCAGAGTTATGCTCGTAGATACTTTCTTGACTTAGAAGACAACTCTGAATTCCTTTTATTCAGAGTTAAGTCCAAAGTTATTTTCCAGCCTAACAATAGAATTCTGAATTTTTGTATTCCAGAGTTAATGTTCAGAGTTTTATTTCAGAGTTAATGTCCATAATTTTTCTCATTTAAAATACCCCGTGTAATACACGGGGTCGAACCTAGTATAGTATAGATAAATATACTTTATCTTGTCTATCTATATTATTTATTAGTATGATTAAATCCAAATATATTCGATATTGGATTCAAAATTATTTTAAAGGTATTGACGAGATAATTATAATAATATAATTTGTAAAATATAAATATATATTTTAATTCGTATACAATTAATTACGTGATGTAAAATAAAAAATGAAAAGATAATGAATATAATGTAAATTAAAAAAGTGTAATTTAAAAACTAAAAATGATTTGATTTTTAATATGTATGAGAGATGTGAAAGCTTTCAATTACGTCTATTTGGCATGATAATATATATCTGTTAGAAATTTCAAAATAATTATAAACAGTATAGATATAGATGTATTTAACAAGGGAATTTCAGCCTTCTTTCAGTTCCCCTTGGTCAGAAGGAATTGGAGTGGCAGCATAAACCAGACCCACGTAACATTGTCTTGCTACGTGGCATTAACAACACGATTTAACCAAATCTACATACATTATACACACACACACACATATATATATATATATACACACAATATATTGCACATCTTAATCTGCCCATTTCAAATCAAGAATCAGGTAAAAGATCATACAAACTCTCTCTAGATCAATCAAAAATGCAGACAGGCAAAAACGCAGCGGCGTCCGTCAAGGAATCAGCAGCCAACATGGCTGCATCTGCCAAGGCTGGAATGGAGAAGACCAAAGCCACCATGCAAGAGAAGGTTTTTCTTCTTTCCTTCCCGTTGGGCATAGATTGTTTCATTCTTTTTGTTTAATCTGTATCTCATAATTATATCTATATATCTTGTTGTGCTTGAACAGGGTGAGAAGATGACTGCTCATGATCCGATGCAGAAAGAAATGGCTAGAGAGAAGAAAGATGAGAGGAAACATGAGGCTGAGTATGAGAAGCAAGCAGCACGTGAGCAAAACGCTGCCCAGAGACAGGCGGCGGGAACCACCGGAACCCACACCTACTCTACCACCGGCGACTACACTGGCACCGGCGGGACTTACCGTTGATGGAATAATTACCTGCTTTATTGTGATGTGTTTTCTTTATACGTTGGCGTGGAATAATTTGGTGTTTTCGTGGATTTTGGACTGTTTATAGTTTGAATACGATGTAATATATATGGTTAATAATACTACATGTCATATCTCTCTCTCTCTCTCTCTCTCTCTCTATATATATATATATATATATATTTTCAGGTAACCTATGAGCATGGTATTATGGTTTTATTTTTGAAGTTTATGATATTGCCAAGGCACACCGTCAATTTTCAAAAGATGGGAATGAGTGAGCCAAACTTGCTAGATAAGTTTTCACTTTAAAGTCCGTTTGTAAAAAATAGTATTTATCAAATTATTTTTAATTTTATTTTATATTGATCTTCACTTGGTTAAATGATAATCTAATCCGTTTCAATGACTATCTTGGCCCCATTTTAATTCGTCTTTGATTCAATACAGATAATCATAAGAGTTTTACAAAGAAAAATTCCTATCTACTTTTTTCCAAAATACAAGACATATTTCGGGCTCTAACAAGACTATTTATGAAGATGCTACAAAAGATTTAGATCATTTTGGCTTCCGAAAACTAGAACCATATATTACATCTGAATACCAAGTTTAGATGTCGAGTACCAAATTCGGATACCAAATCCGGATGTTTACTAATATTAAATATGAATGTCAAGTCTAGATACTAAATTTTGATGAAGATTTAAGTATCTAGTCAGAGAAATGGATTCAGATTAAATCTAAATGTAAGTCCAGATACAAATCTTGACACCAAATCCGATAATTAATTGTTACCAATTTGGATACAACAATCCAAATAGTTCTAAGTAAGCTTGTGAAGACCGAACGAACAAGAACGACAACTTGTTCATGTTCTTTCGTTTAACTTAACCGAACGAACAGACACGAATAGTAAATGAATAAAAATGTTGGTGTTTGTCTTCATTCGTTTTGAAAATTGATGTGCATGTTCGGTCATGTTCGTCCATTAAAATGCTAAACACACATAAACAAATGTACTTAAACGAACACAAGGTGTACCCGTCTTACTTCTAAAATATACAACTTCTCAAATAAATCTTTTCCTATATCTACAAATACATTAGTATAAAGCAATTGGTTGCAAAGGCCACCGAAGTGGGATGGAATCATCAGTCCTCAGAATAGAAAAACAGGAGAGATGTGTTTTGTAAATCCCATATACATCTTCATTATTTTAATTTTAGAAAAATACACAAAACAGTTTCATAAAAATTTCATTAAATATTATATGAAACAATTTCATAATCATATATGAAACAACTTCATAAAAAAAAGTATTATATGAAACAATTTCACAAGATTAAACAATTTCATGAAGTTTTTTCATAAGATTAAACAATGAAATCGACGGATGAGGGTGGTTTGCACAGTTTGTACAAATTGAGTGGTTTACATTTGATCGCTCCGTTCTCTCTCTCTATATATATATATATATAATTAATAAAGAAAAGTTAGGGGAGGTCAGTTTATGCTACTAATAAACTGGATATTGCAACTCTTAGTAGAATTAAGATTTAAACATAACCATACACGGGACACATATTACATAATACTTACTGTTGCATGACAAAATGAAACAAGTAAGACATTTATTTGTATTTCTATCTATAGATTTAAAGATGTTACATATTCTCATGATGGCCTTCATGCTGCATACTTCTTTGTTAACTTGACCATCAAACCATACTTCATTTGGAGGATGACTGACGGATTTTGCATGATTGGGTGACCATCCACCACTTCCACATCATAATTGTATATAACTGTAGCTGCTACTATTTTCATTTGAGTTAATGCGAATTTCTTACCAATGCAAGTTCTTGGCCCTGTGTGAAACGTTGTAAACTTGTGAGAGGGTACGTGTTTGATCCCTCCTTGCTCTGACAGCCATCTTTCTGGCTTGAATTCCAAACAGTCTTGTCCCCATATCATCTCCATTCGTCCCATTGCATATGAGTGTAGAAATATTTTGGTGTTTTTATCAACTTGATGACCACTTGGCAGGGTGTCTAAATCAACCGGAGCTTTCGGGTTTACAGGAACCGCAGGAAATAGCCTTAATGCTTCACATAATGCTCCTTGAAGATAAGCCAACTTTTGCAACTCTTCTAAACCAATTTTTCTCCATTTCTCACCCTTTTTGATCCCTAATTTTGTGTGAATCTCTTCACATATCTTACCGTTCGCTATAGGGTTTTTCGCAAGGAGATAAAAGAACCAAGTAAGAGTTGCGCTGGTGGAATCTCTCCCAGCAAACACAAGACTTAATATGGTGTCTTTGATGAATTTGTCATGGTCATCAAAGCTACCAGTTTGGTCATTATATTCCCTCATAAATCCTGTTAATAACCTTAAGTCCTCCTGTTGTTCTCTTTCTATGTCATAAGCCTCAATTTGCCTTTCCTTTTTTTCATTTAGAAGCTTGTAAATAATCTCATCACTTAGCTTTAAAGCATCACTAAGATGTTTCTCATTACCCAATTGAAATCTCTTGAGCAGCTTCCAACAGCATTTTGGAACAACACTTCGAACGAAGAGGGCTTCTTCAGATTTAGTGAAAGCAACTTCAAATTTATTGTGCGGAAGATCAACAGACAAGGTTTTGGGATCATAGTCCACAACCAAACTGAAAATGCTATCAAAAGTGAGCCTTTGGAAGATATCTTGCAAATCCATCTTGGATCTTCGTTCTGACATGACTTCAAGAACCGGCAAAAGCTTTTCCTCCATGTGGTTCCAAGTGGTTTGCTCCACCATGTTCAAGAAATCCGGACGATTGAAGAGTGACATGGTTGTTTTACGGTGCAATTCCCACATCTTGGAATCACAACCGAAAATACCATCGCCAAGGATATCGAATGTCTCTCTAAACTCTGGACCTTTTGGGTAATTATGGAAGTTGGTGGTTGATATATAAAGATAGTTGGCTGGATCACTGGTGAAGAGGATGTCCATATTGACAAACCAAGGGCCTTTGCATATGAAGGTACTTCCATTTTGTTTCAAAATACTAGTGATATAATCATTGAAACGATGGGAATTCCATAACAAGGCAGGGGTCATACCTAATAGAGGCCAATTGGTGGGCATTGATGATCTCCGTGATCTAAGTATATAGTAAACGAAAAGGGAAATTAAGCAGGTAAGGGAAAAGATTGTATCACAGTATTGCAAGAATGCCATATTGTGATCGATGTGCATGTTGTCTATGTTTATGGGTGCATTTATAAAGCAGGTTTATGCAAGCTATCATTGTAAAGACACCCACCAAACCGAACTTCTAGCCAAGCTAGATGCCACTACAATAATATATATATATATATATATATATATATATATATATATATATATATATATAGGGACCT